TTAGCTTATAACCAGGTCGTACTTCATTAGGATCACCTGTGTATCCTGGTAGCACTGCTGGAAGAAAATACTGCTTGAACCTGCTATCATAAAGCTCAGTTTGAACTTGAGCTGCAAGACGAAAATGAACTAAAAGTTCAATTATTTCTTCTGAACCAATACCACTTGACTGCCATACTTTATGATACAGTGGTTGAACAAGAATACCATTATTTCGTAACAAAAACCATCTTTTTCCTCCGCTCCATCCTTTATCTAGTGGGAACACTTTCCCAATGGTATTAACAAACCATTTTGGTCTGAGAATGACTTTATTTTTCAGACCTTCTATTTGAGGATAGTAAAGCAAAACTCCCAGTTCATGGTAGAATTTCAATACTTCAGGAACATTTGCTGCTGGTATATGGCATGCCACTCCAATGGCAATGGCTTTAGATACATTAATGACATTCTGCTTAAGCTCTTGAAGAACTTTGCGAAACAGAACCCAATTGACAGGGGTTGGAAAAACTAACTTATGTATAAAAAGATCAATTGCTCCACGTAATTCTTTGATACTTGGATCTTCTTTTTCCCCCTTGCCTGAGGTTGTATTATCAATGATTAGCACATCTTCAATAAGATCTGAAAACTCCTTTTCCTCATACAAGGACTGGATTTGCTCTCTTATTTCTTCCTTTCTTTCTTCATTTAGCTTGTCACCACGAGTGCCAATACAATAGAGACTAGGAGAAGTATCATCTTTGTTGTGCTTCATGAGGTGACTGTGTATTGTAGACATCCATTTAGCCATTAGATCACTCGTGCTTTCATTCACTACCTCACCAAACAGCACTTTACCAGCAGAAGTATTCTGATGTGACTGCCATCTTTCCCTGAAATCCTTTGAGGCATCAAACAGGAGGAGAAACATTGTACGAGGAGTGAGGAAGGCTGGGAGAATCTCAAGGAACACTGGCTGACCACCGCAATCCCATATATGAAGGAATGGCTAAAAATTGGAATAAAATAGGGTACATGTTAATCATGTATGACTAACTTGAACAAGTGATTCTGTTGTCTTATGTGCACCAGCTTTTCTAAGAAATTCTTTAATACACATTTCCGTATCTAAATCTGAAAATTTCGCAATAGATCTAGTGTCAACTAAATCAAGGGAATGATATAAAACTGATTTAGATGCATGGTGTGAGGAGGGTCTAGAAAGACTGGATTCAAGCAAATGTGCAAGTTCTTCAATTTCATCTTCTTCTGTAGTTTCTCTCCATCTGCTTCCTCTCCTTGTTTGCCACTTGTGTCCAAATGGTCGTACAGTTGATACATCAGATACAATGGTGCTTGTAGTATGAGGATTGAAAGGTTCTTCCATTAACGAACGCTTGAGAGACGTCTTGCCAGTACCAGCTGATCCCAGTAACATAAGACGAGCATACGCTACATCAGCACTTCCTTGCTCCTTGAGAGCTCTCTCATAGACACCTATAGGTACATGTACAACAGGATTAGGTATCAGTATCAAGAACTCTAGCATACATGTATAAAGAAAAAAAATTGAAATCATTCAAAGTGTGGCTTAAAAGTAAGTGGTGTATACATAAGATATATCATAGGTTATTATGGATAGTTTTGGCAGTTTTTTACTTACTTAAATCCTATAAAATTGTGATGCCAGAAACTATTTCTTAAAATCTAAATTTACATCTCATGACTTACTGGCTATATAACCACAATGTTTAGACAAATAATAAAATTACACATTAACACATGACGTGACTTACTTTCTGAAACATTGTGAATAACATGGTTTATTAAAGTATCACAATGGTATCATAGAAGAAACGAATAAAATTATACA